TTTAACAAACCTGGTGGGGAAAGTTGTAAAATGGGACCAAACTCACTTCACCAATTTCTCACTTGGCAACATAAGTTTTGGGCTCAGTTGTGGTTTTATGTGCCATTGTAACTTTGAATGGTCACTAAACGGAGTGTTGTAAGTCGAGGACTAGCTATATTTTGCAAAAATTTTGGTAGCATTTTCGGAACAATTTGCCCTGGCCTCCTCCTCGGTCTTGAACTGAAATGAAAAAGAAAGGATGGTACCAAATTCCCTCAATGTTCTGAGCGAGGCTTCCCGAGAGCATGAAGCAAACTCCTTTTGTCCCGACAAAAACCCTTTTTATTCATTTACTGTGAATTCTGTTCATTCACGTCCAGCTAAGTCTTTCAAGGGAGGATTTACAGTCACAGACCTTATCTGGCTTGGAGAACTGCCAGGCCGATATCAGGAAAAGTTGGCGAGGAGTCTCGGAGAGTCACTTACTAATTAAGGGAACTAATTGTCTCCTGCAAACTCCACTCCTCTTTTATGTCCTCTGGGAGGGGCCATTCATCGTCCACCTGTGGCCTTACTCCCAAGTCGACCCCTGTTCTTTAGCTGTTCCCTTCGTCTGGCAGCTCTGCGCATGCGCACACTGGGAACAGGCTCCAGCTAATCAGAGTTGATGATGTTACCTAGCTTGGGTAATGAAACATCTGCAAGAAAACAAGCCAGCCTGGAGAGCATCAAGGACCCCTCATTTCAGGCTAATTGTGCCCACTGCCTATAGTTTGATTCTGAGCAGCTCAAGGTTGAGTCAGCCTTTACATCCTTCTGTAAAATGAGGACCCCAATTGTTGGGGGCCATATGGTGATTCTGCAAACTGCTTAGAGAGGGCTGTAAAGCACTATGAAGCGGTATGCTATTGTTATATTTTATCCTGCCATCTATAACAGCCTGATGTTTCCCAGACCAAGGCTAAACTTAAGATCTGTTGTATTTAGATGGCCTCCGATAAAACTGTCTTATTCATTTGTCCTCTGCCCATCTCCTCAGTAGTTCACACAACACACTGGAGTTTAAGAGAGTGTTGTTTTTTGCTGAATGCATCGGGTAAACTCCATTGTCATTATTTTTAAAACAATGGCTTAGATTTGGGTTGTATGAAAAGAATCGTCCTTTGTTCAGTAAATGCTGGTTAAACTATAACTTAGCTGCAGATGTGTGGAGTGCTACTTCTGACCTATCAGTCTCCCCGGTAGAAAAAAAGAGAAATTCATCCAGAGTTTTTTTCATCCTGGGGAAATTCACCTGTATCCTTTCCCCTTCTTCGTATGGTCCAATAAGACCTAACAGAAAAGGTTTTCCCCCCTTAGGTTTTCATTATCAGTTCTTAGGATCCATTGTGAGATTTTCCTCTGAAAACAACAGAAAAGGGAGAGATCTTACTTCCTTAAAGTATTCAGTCAGTTACCTTTGCAGTGTGACAGTTGAGTGAGTCCAAATAACTACACAATTCAAAAATCTTTCACAGATTAATCCTCGACTTGCAACTGTAATTGAGCCCGTAATTTTGGTCATAAGTCATGGTCATTAAGCAGGCTGCCGTGTGACCCCATTGGATTTTAAAACCCAAAATGCAGCCATGTGACCATGAAGATGCAGTCGTCAGGACTTCAAATCTGGCTTGTGGGTCCCTTTCTTGGGAAGAGTTGCTAAGCAACCAGTCGTAAGTCGGGGACTCTGCCTGCCTGTCAAATCTGAATCCTTTCCCTGATCTTTTAGAACAGAAATAGTGATCTACGTGGTTGAACGGTCACCCAACGGGACTTCCAGGCGGGTTCCAGCCACCACCCTGTATGCGCACTTCGAACAAGCCAACATCAAAACCCAGTTGCAGCAGCTTGGCGTGACCCTCAGCATGGCCAGGACCGAGCTCTCCCCAGCCCAGGTTAAGCAGTTGCTGCAACATCCTCCTGCAGGTAAGCCGGGCTTGGGGTGGATAATCCAGCATTCCTCTCCTACAAGCGAGAGAACAAACAGGTATTTCTGAGGAAGTGAATGTTTGAGCGACTCTTGGAGCAAATGCCTTATAAAGAAAGAGAGTTAGCTCCATAAACAAGGTTTGAGGACTCGGTACTTTGGCGTCCGCTTTTACCCACAATTTGGAAAGATCGCAAGTGGCCTTCTCACTAAATGTCTGTGAGGTGTTTGGACAGTGTTTACAGTTTCCAAAGGATGCCACATTGGGACAGGAAGGAAAGCATATTTGTTGAGTCTGTTCAGCACTGAGCATGAAACCAGTGAGAGGCCACTGCTTAAGATAAACCAATTTCCTGTGTTTGTGTTACATTTAAGCAAGGGGAAACTCTTTATCATTCAGTTGTCTTTGACCCATTAAAGAGAAAGTCCTTCCTTCCTTCCCCTTTCTCTCTCTTTTTCCTTCCTTCCTTCCCTCCCCCCTTTTCTATCTTTACCTCTCATTTCATTCCTTCCTTCAATCCATTCATCTTCCCTTTCCTTCCATCCATCCATCCATCTTCTCCCTTTCCCTTCCTTCCTTCCATCCATCTACCTTTCTTCTCCCTTTTCCTTCCTTCCCTCCTTCCTTCCTTCCTTCCTTCCTTCCTTATTTCCTTCCTTCCTTCCTTCCTTGCATCCATGTTTTATATGGCTTCCCATATCACACAAGTGCCTCTAGGCAGCATACAAAGACTAAAACTACACAGGCACAGACACACAACCCCTGGTATTCAAAGATTTGTGGTTTGTTATATGAACGAGTCGCAGAAATGTGATTGTTATTTATTTCCTTATTAATCAAATTTATATAGCTGCCCATCTCACCCGGGGCAGCTACATACATTTGCTTATACACTCATCCTTCCTTAGTATTTGAAAAGAGAGCCTTCACATAACCCTGAGGGTCTGATTTAAATCGGTTTACATGCTAACTTAAAAGGAAAAGCTCTTAGATCTTAATTGGCATGGTATGTTTATTATTTTATCTAGAACTTTGAGCGTTTTAACTAAACTTTAATCATGATTAAGACATAAGGGATATTTCTGTTGAAAAGAATGGCGAACCTTTTTTTAAAAAAAATCCTTTGTTACGCTAATAAAAAATGGAGAAGAAATCAATTCTATTTTTCTCCCTTTACAGGTGTTGATCCTATCATTTGGGAACAGGCCAAAGTGGACAACCCCGAACCTGAAAAGTAAGAGGGCTTGCAAGATGACTCATAAGAAGCAGGTCTTTGTAGCAATTTGCGAAAAGAATAACAACATTTTCCAGAGGAGAAATGGAGAAATTGAAATAATTGGCTCAGAAAACAAAACAAAAAAAATATTCTTCCTGCAAAGTGGCTGCTTTGACGATTCGTTGTAGTTTGGAAGTACTTTTTCTCTCTCCCATATTAAATTACCTCTTTCCTTCTCATCTTCCCAGTTTTGTTCTCAATTTCCCCCCCTTTTTTCTTAGTCCGTCTCCATTCTTCTTCTTTTTGTTAATGAAAAACAACAATTTTTATAAAGGCTCCTAATTATCCCTGTAAGAAATCTTGCTTTTACCTCTATGATGTACAAAAGAATTATTCCTTTGTAGATTTATAGCACTCATTCTATTTCTCCTGTGGCACCAGCGGTATTTCACTTAAATTAGTGTTTCTCAAACCTCAGTGACTTTTAAGACCTGGATTCCAACTCCCAGAATTCCCCATGGTTGGCTGGGGAATTCTGGGGGTTAGAATCCACCATTGGTGGGATTCCAAATCTTTTCCTATCAGTTCTACACACTTTGTGTGCGTGGACAGCACTCAAAGACCGCCTTCAGTGTCCGCACTGGTGAGCTTAGCTCAGCTGAGACGCAGCAATCCTCTTTGCCACGCGAATCAGCTGAGCTAAAAAAACAAGTGAATATGGGACAGGGAATGACGGGCGGGAGGGTGGGGCCAACCAGAGGTGGTATTTGCTGGTTCTCCAAACTACTCAAAATTTCCGCTACCGTTTCGCTTGAACCGGCCCGAACCGGCTCAATACCACCTCTGGAATCCACATATCTTAAAAGTCACTGAGGTTTGAGAAACGCTGGCTTCAATTATTGTTCAATCTACGCATCTGCAAGGTTATAATTGCCCCGCCTTCTAAATTGCGTTTTTATTTTTTACTTCTTTCATTTGTATTATCTTACTTTAGGATAATTAATTAATTAATTTGTAATTTAATGAGCTTATATGCCGCCCAATCCCGGAGGACTCCGGGTGGCTTACAAAATACGAGATAAAAATAAAATAACAAATAGGGGAGAAAGACAAAAACAGTTTAAAAAACACAATATACATTTGGGTTAGCTGGGGGTTGGACATGATTTATAAATCAACAACCCCAGGCCTGCCGGAACAGCCAGGTTTTGGTGGCTTTTTGGAAGGCCGCGAGAGTGGGATGGGTCCGGATCTCTGGGGGTAGCTCGTTCCACAGAGCTGGGGCAGCTACAGAAAAGGCTGTCCCCCGAGTGGTCGCCAGCCGGCATTGTCCGGTCGACGGCACCCAGAGGAGGCCTATTAGTAATTGTTCTGACCACCCCCTCATCCTACACCAAAGCACGCCGAGAGAAAGATACTTCCAGGATTTATTGATACACAGACAGGCCCTTGGCAGCAATCCTGCAGAGTCCAGGCCTTGCCAGCAATCCAGCACAGACTAACCTTGGCAGCAATCCAGCACAGACTAACCTTGGCAGCAATCCAGCCTGC